ATCTGCCTACATGGCAACTACAAGAGGCGTCGAGTCTATAGAAGGCCAGGGAAGCAATTTGCTGATTGTTGTATACAAGAAATTGTGTCATATGAAGGCGGTTCTTGTATGTTTGGAGAGGCATTTCCATTGATGGAAAACCGAGTTGGTTTTCTTGCCTCGTGAAGGACGTGAAGGAGATTTAACGGCGGATAGTTACATTAAAGACATTTTGTAGGAACATGTGGTTCGATACGCGAGATTTATTGGTGATGCCTTTATTCTAACGCACGATACGCGATATCGCACGAGTCACCACCACCTATCTGACTTAGATCGGTACCTACAATAAATTAGCCTGCGTTGAGCCCGGACATTACTCCAATAGAGTATGTTTGGTATGAGCTTAAATGAAGGGTCCGGGGCATAAATTATGCACCAAAGATCATAATGGATTCAGAGCTGCGCTTAATGATGAATGGAAAGCAACAACTCAAGAATGTATTAGAAAAGTCATCTGATCCATGCAAAATCAATAAGAAATTGTAATTAGAAGTAGAAGTGGTCATATCAAATAATGAAAAATAAAGATATTCATTTTGTATTTGATGTATTTCTCTCTTCGTATTGCATATTGTTTTTATAACGCGTCTTCCAAATAATGCAATAGCAGTTTTTGTAAGTTTAATAAAAAAGTTATTGTTTTGAATATTACATATTTTTATTTTCATACTTTTTGTATTGAAACAGAAGCTGTAATCTCAAATATCGCTTATTAGTCGATTGTTTTGCACTCAAGTGTAATATTTAAACAAATAATTAAGATCACTATTAGGGTGATAAAATACCTACACAGCGAAATTTTTTTTTTGCGACAAAGACCACAATTAATATTATAATTCTATTTGTTTGTTTATCTTTATATTTTATCTAAGTGCTTCTTTATTTGTGTAATTAGAGATTATCTGAGTACTAAATAAAAATTTTTCTTCAATTTAAAATTGAAGTCTCAAAAATTTTCAAACGATCTCTTATGGTGCTAATTTTAGAATATAGCTATTAAATTTGCAACAAGCCGCCACTGTACTCATAATTGATATTACAGTTATGAATAATTCATTAAATTACTAATAATTAATGTACTTATTTGTCCAACTTTGATTAAAATTTGCAATATCGTTACGATGTTCTAGTAGATTTCTACTTACACATTAAATAATAATGATGACTTAAGGTCATCGAATGAAATGGGTTTAAGTTATTAAAGACAAAATATTTGAGCATAAATTTACTTTCTCTTCAACTTCTGTTAATATTTATTTAATAATTATATTGACTATGTGAATCAAAAACTTTTGACAATCGTTTTATAGTTCAATCACTTTATTATTTGTATCTAGTATAGTTTTCTTGATTTTGAGTAAATTTCTAATTAAATTATAATGGAATCAATTCCTACGTCATAAATTGATAAAAGTATATCTTTCAGGGTGCGAGATTCACAGATATCAATTGTTATCTTCATGAGATCGTTATTTTTTGCATTTTCTCGATAAATAAGTTATTGGGCATTTCTACACATACCACACCAGTAATCTTCAAGCACCATTTTTTCGATTCTAATATTCATACCATCACCTAAAGATATTTATTGCCGTCCATTTTTTTCTCTAAAACCCCATGCATACCTACCTTCAAAACTTCTTAAGTTCATTTTAATTGACTTCCAAAGAGTCATTGGAAACTTTTATTTGGCCCTAGTGTATTAAGGCAACATCAAACGCACCCTTTGTTAACGCTAAAGCGAAGAAAACTCGAATATTTTGGTCACCTGATGAGAGGACATAAATACGCATTACTTCAAAATATAATGCAGGGAAAAATAGAAGGTAAACGGAATCCAGGCCGTAGAAGAATGTCATGGTTGCGGAATTTGAGAGAGTGGTTTGGCTGCACCACTAATGAACTCTTTAGGTCAGCCGTAAGCAAGGTCAGAATAGCCTTGATGATTTCCAATCTCCGATAGGAGTGGTACAAAAAGAAGAAGAAGAAACTCACCTTAATAGAAGTGAGCTAGCGCTCATTGATAAATCCTCTTGTAAGCAATTTTTTTTATTCCTTATCCATTTTATTTTTACGAGTTGAACCGATATACTCCCAGGTACGACAGTGCGCTTATATCATAACAAGGATATCATCGCCCAAATTTTGTCAGCTCTCTGAGGTATGGCTTAGGTAACACTTTCTTTCTGTTTCAGACTTCTCCATCGAACGATATTCTTACGCATTAGTGTGTTTCTCATATGGGTCTCACCATATTCATAATAAGTCAACTGTTACGATAGATATGACTTCTATTTGAGCTGTAAACATTTTATTCTAACAAGTGATTTTTAGTAGGTACACATCCACGGGTCCCTCGTGCTAAAAACCTGTCTGCCTTCGATGGGATTCAAGAGAGTTCAGGAAGGTCACCGTCCGCTTCGAGAGGACTCTAGAATAGCAGATATTGGATATATATATATATATATATTATATATATATATATATATATATTATATATATAAATTCTCAATCCGAATTTATTTGTTTGGCTATATCTTATTCACACCTATCCTAGTTCCTATATAGTACTAGATACTCTTAAAAGGTCAGATATAAGCCATTGGATGTGCTCTTTCGGAAATGGTACCTCTTCATCCTGTCCTACATTGACTGAAAGCAAACTTGTGCTCGGATACCTGACAAAAAAAGGTTGTAAACAGAGATAATTCAGCTTTGATTGAGTTTATATACGCCGTTGAATATTTATGTGAAGCTATTGAAAAGAAAATGTAATGGCATGGGAATCCCTCTCAATGACGAGACTACACTGTACACCTTATGTTTCGCTGATGACCAAATACTGATTGCCCAGGGTCATGACGACTTGAGTTACATGACTCGGAAGCTAATAGAAGAATATAACAAATAGGGTCTCGAAGTCAACATTAAGAAAACTGAAGTCATGTGTATTGTAGGGACAAAAAAGTCCATTATATTAGACGATGGGGTAGAAATTAGAAACTGTGATGAATACAAGTACTTGGGTATGAAGATAACTCAAGATGGAACACTCGATGCTTCTATAAAACACAGAAACATACAGGGTAGAAAAGCCATATCCATGATGAACGGCAATCTGTGGAACAAAACAATATCTAAAGCGAAATAAACAACTCATATACAACACCATACTTAAAAGTGTAATCACATATGGCAGTTAAGTTTGGCCAATAAAACAAAGAACAGAGAAACTGTTACTAGCAACAGAAATGGACTTCTGGAGAAGAGCAGCAGGCAAATCAAGAAGAGATCGGATACCAAATGAAAGAATACGAGAAATGATGGGAGTCAAGCATACAATATTTGATTACATAAAAACAAAACAGTTAATATGGTACGGCCATGTACAAAGAATGCCAGATGACAGGATTCCAAAACAGATTTTGACGTGGACACCACAAGGGAGAAGGAAAAGAGGAAGACCGAGAAAAAGATGGAGAGAGGGAATTAAAAAGGAACTAGAGGAAATAGAAATCCCTCCAGGCCTATAGTTGAATAGAGAAGAATGGCGGTTAGGAGTCGGAAGGCGACGGAGAACGCTGTAAACCGATAGTAGTAGTAGTGAATATTTATGTGCGAAATGAGGATTGTTGTATGTAGAATGCTTTAAAATTTTGGTAAAAGTTCTTCTCCTTGATGTGCCTATCCGTCACGAATGTTGGTGACCAAAAGCTGGATCTTAAGCATTCTTTGATATAATCACATCTTAAATGCTTCCAGTTTTCTACACATATCTTTGTTCAAGGTCTACGATTCAACACCATTAAAAAATGATGAGAGAAGACGTATCATCGCATAATTCTTACTTTTGTATCAAGAGAGAGGTTGTGACCTTGAAGAAGGCTCCATCCGATTGAAGGTGGATCTAGCTTTTTCGATGCGTGCTCTTATCTCCTGGTTACTTGTCCATTCTTCATCTATAATATAAATACAGAGATTTAGAAAGTGGTTGAAAGAAAAACTGCTTCCAAGTTTATTAAACCCTCTTTTATGGTTTAGGATAACGCCACATACCATTCGGAAATTTTAAATTTCTGGACCAATAACCCTATCATTTACAGACCAAATCAATATACCAACGACAGAAATTTGTAAGTGTAAGGCAATATGTTTTCATTTTCTCATTAGAAAAAAATATGAGTGCTAACACCTACCACTATAAGTTAGAAATAATAGAATTTAAAATTTTCTTTTATTTTCTCACTAATAATTGCATATTTTTCTCAATGAATGGAAAGTACATTATAAGTTAAAAACGTATTTTTGCTAATCCTCGACCGTGCTTCAAATATTGGGAGATTTTGCCATTACCTTTCTTCACACAGCTGTCCGTTTTCCTAATCCAACCTAAGTCGTAAATTCGTAAGATATACTATAACCGTAGGTTAATTAAGAACTTTTACTATTGGCTCTTCGATAAACACCAATTATTACGTCTATAATAAAAAAAGAGATACAAAAATATAGAATTATAAACAAACTATATTGAAAATATCGATAGGTCACATGTCGTTCGAAGCGATGAATAAACGTTCAATAAGCGAATAAATATGTGATTTATCTGGCTTTATAGATATAAATGACAAATCTATCATATCTTCACAATTGATCATAACCACTGGATTTTACGTTGTCAATGTCACAGCATATTTTATATAATCTTGTCATCAATTCAACCTTTAGTCCTCTTTAGACCAAACAAAAGAAAATTAATTCGTAAGAAAAATTGATCATTTTATTAGTCATAGTTGCAACGCATAAAATGAATACCTATTTACTGTTTAATTAAAATTCATTGTACGATTAACTTTTACAAGTAAGTACTCATGGAATTAAACGTGTAACTGAATTTTAACTAGACGTATTTTCCATTTTTACTAATAAAAATTAAAATTTGTATTGTATAAAATAAACCGCTGTATTTTCCGACGTTTGAGGATCGGCAATTTATATTTATATGATCATACGTTAAGTTTGATAGCAGTAAATAGGTAATTTGTGGAAGTGGTTTAATAAAAATGGTTCAAACAGTCGTAATAAAAAGGTATGTTTCATTTTTGTAACTATATATTAATAATGTAATAATGTTTTTTATCAGCAAATTTTAAAATAAACTTAACTACGTTTCTCTGTATAAAAGTAATCTTTATTATTTTCTGTACAATATTACTTATTAATAAATACATTACCTGTAAGAAAGAAACAACATTTAAAGCTTATATTCTAATTATACAAATTACAGGTAACAAGTAGTAATGGCCAGACAATTGACAATGGTAAATTAATGAATTGTCACTGTCAAAACACCACACAAGTATGTCTAACATAAATACAAAAAAAGAACTTAATATAAACTCACCGGCACGAAAAACGGAGCACTTACATTTATAAAATAAAAACTTAAAATTCTAATTTTCTTTAAATTTTTATTATTATAATAACGAAAACATAAACGAAACAAACTGTTTTTAAAGTAGTTTCTAATAAAAATTTAACTTTTATACAAAGAAGTGTTTCATAATATTGTTCTGAAGCTATTTTCTTGTGGCATTGTAAATTAATTACTATTTATAACTCGGAATAAGCCACAATTAAAGATAAAAATACGTTTATTGACGTTTCAATTTCCAATTCGGAAATCGTTCTCAAAATACAAATAGTAAATTAAACAAATTTTGTTTTTTGTTACATAGTGAAAAAATTCTTCTAATAATTTAATTTTATCTGACTCATTTATATTGACAATTCAGACATACATTATGCATTTTAAAGTAGACGACTTTAAAATGATATTGCCAATATTGTTGAGTTGCGCTCCTGGGACGACTTTACTTATAAGATAGTTCATTCGATTACATGAAATCAACTTTAACTTGAGAATATCCGTCAGAAAAAAATCATAGCATGTAATTCGTCTTTAAAAAGACAAACACATGACATGATGACAGAAAAATTCTCCTGTTAGTGATTCCATAGTAAATTATGAGGAAAAAACCAGGAAAAAAACCTCATAATACTATCCCGACATTGTAAGTATTTTGTTCGTGAATTTAGTTTACCTTCAACAAACATCAAAATTCTGATTTTATATGTTACGTTATTTAAAAAACATAAATGATGTATCCTCTATATGTTACTGACTTACTAACACTGTATTTTCTTATTAATAACTTCCTGTTTCAATATTGGTAACCAGATCCTACTACATTCTGCCGAGGAATTTGCGACACAATTGGCCTCATTTAGCATAATTTAGAGATACTGGATTTGAGTGACTCAGGTGTATAGAAACCAACACACACCATAGATATTTAAATTTCAATTCAAGCACAATATTAATGTAAAAAAGGGAATAATTAAATCCTTATACGATAGAGCCAAAGTTAACATCTGTTTTATTAAAAAATGATTATCCTCTTTTCGTTTATAAATAAGGAATTTTCAACAATCGATCGAATAGAACAGAACAACTTAGAACGAGATCCTACAGCATACAAAAGGAATAATATGAGGAAAATAACAATACCGTACATAAAAGGATTATCAGAAAAACTTAAAAGGATAGGAAATAAATTCAACATTTCAACAACATTCAAAACAACAAACACGTTGAGATCTATTTTGTCCAAACCAAACCTAACAATGAACAAGAAAGGACAAAGAATTGCATTTATAAAATACCTTGTGAATGCGATCAGTTTTATTTAGGTGAATCATCAAGGCCATTAAATGTTAGAATAAGTGAACATCAATCTTATATTAAAAATAGAGAATTTGATAGATCTCAAATATGTAAACACGCATGGGATAATGAACATAGGGTTCAATGGAATAATTCAAATATAGTCCTAAAAGAAACGGATGGTAAAAAAGAAAAATCAAGAAGCGGCTCTAATTATGCTAAATGAGGCCAATTGTGTCGCAAATTCCTCGGCAGAATGTAGTAGGATCTGGTTACCAATATTGAAAGAGGAAGTTATTAATAAGAAAATACCAGTATTAGTAAGTCAGTAACATATAGAGGATACATCATTTATGTTTTTTAAATAACGTAACATATAAAATCAGAATTTTGATGTTTGTTGAAGGTAAACTAAATTCACGAACAAATACTTACAATGTCGGGATAGTATTATGAGGTTTTTTTCCTGGTTTTTCCCTCATAATTTACTATGGAATCACTAACAGGAGAATTTTACTGTCATCATGTCATGTGTTTGTCTTTTTAAAGACGAATTACATGCTATGATTTTTTCTGACGGATTATTCTCAAGTTAAAGTTGATTTCATGTAATCGAATGAACTATCTTATAAGTAAAGTCGTCCCAGGAGCGCAACTCAACAATATTGGCAATATCATTTTAAAGTCGTCTACTTTAAAATGCATAATGTATGTCTGAATTGTCAATATAAATGAGTCAGATAAAATTAAATTATTAGAAGAATTTTTTCACTTGTAACAAAAAACAAAATTTGTTTAATTTACTGTTTGTATTTTGAGAACGATTTCCGAATTGGAAATTGAAACGTCAATAAACGTATTTTTATCTTTAATTGTGGCTTATTCCCAGTTATAAATAGTAATTAGAAGTGTTTCAGTAAATAACAATTTAAGAATTAAGAAAAAAAACTTAAGTAAATATGTTAACACAAATGACGCCCAAGTAATAAAAACTTAAAGCGTGTGCCCGAACAAACTGATTTTAATAATGAATGTTTCCTCCACGTGCTCGAATTATTGCCTGAATTCTCCTTGGCATGCCTAAAATCAAATAAGAAATGTCCTGTTGAGGAATAAATTCCCATTCCTCTAAAAGGGCTTCTTGTAACTGATTTAAGGTTAAAGGGACAGGAACACGACTTCGTATCTTTCCATTGGGTTCCATTGGGTTTGCGTACCTCAAGGCTGGCCAATGCATTACAGAAATGTTTACTTCATTTAAAAACTGTTGAGTAATTCTCGCACTGTAAGGTTTGGCATTATCATGCATCAGAACAAAGTCATTTCCAACAAAACCAGCAAAAGACACAACAAAATCATGGAGAATTTCATCAATATACCTGGCAGCTGTTATGGAGCCTCTCGGAACGATGTACAATTCTGTACGTGCCTCTAGAGAAATTCCAGCCCACACGATAATTGAACCCTCTACCGGACTCGTCGGTAAATGAAACGTGCCTCCAAATATTTACAGTAAAATGAGCATGGTTTCTGGCAAACTGAAGCCGGGCAACTCGATGGCGCCTGAGAAGTTGTAAGCCTGTTGCAGGTCTGCGACTGCTTAAATTTGCTTTTCCAAACCTTCGTCTAATAATTGAAGACATGAGTGGATAAAGGTCATATGTCACTTTTTTGAAAAAATTGTTTTATTAGGTTTTTTGTGCTGCTAATATGCTGTTTAAACCTTTTAAAATTTTTAAAATTACTTATTTTTAGCTAATTAAAAAAAATAGGAAGGTATTAAAGCAATATGTCTCACTAAATTTTCGAATTCTAGTGGATAAAGGTATTATGTCTAAAATCGCGGACATATTACTTTATCCACTCAAATTTTTAGTCGCTCCAGCAGTTGGTTTTCTGACATTTGACTTTATAGGTTATGTTATGAAAATCAATGTAATTGTGTAATTTACTTTGTGCAAACATTTTTACAGTTTTTTAAGTCAAAAAGTTACGAAAAAATTATGGAGAGTAGAGGAAAAAGAATTTACAGACTATATCTTCAACAGAAAAAAAAGAATACTGTTAAAAAAGGTAATATTACATTATTATATAAAGGTTCATATACATATATTTTTTAATACTTGTTGTTTTATGCAAAGTACCAATTAATGCTTTTTACTGTAGTTTTTATCACATACTTACAATATTGCTGGTTTTAGGTGTATTTCCTCCTAGTTCGTCAGATTTAAATACCCGTAAACTCAACGATTTATCCAATAAACAGTATTGTGCAGACATGCAGATACCATCGACTTCCGGAAATTTTGTCGGTAAGGGAATATTTATTTGACATTTCCAGCCTCGTTGACAAGTTAATATAATAATAATTTAAGATAATATTAAAGTTATCTTAGTATTTTCTAATCTGTATTAATAATTATTTTGTAATATCGGTTATTTGGAGTGTTTCAATATCTCATAGACAGATAGACACTATGCATTGTCTAAATTTTAATAAAATTGTTCTCCAACGTTTTTAATATGAAAAAATTTGGTTTTGTGCTTTGAGATATTTGGTATAAAATGAAAAAAACACATGGATACCATACGTAAGCCTGGCTGGAAAGGTTTATAATTTCTTAGTAGTAAATTTATTTTAATTTTACTACATATAGTTTTATATTTTTAGAAAGCAATGAGTCAGGAAGCGAAGCAGACGGATATGTGTCGTCCAGTGATGAATTCGTTTCCTTCAGGTACGGGCTATTCGGATGAATCAGACTACTATGAAGAAACCACAAACAAAATGTTTTCCAAAAAAATACATGATGCTAAACGAAACATCTTTTCTGAAAAACTTCCTAACAAAAATTTGTTAAATGAAAAAAAGGAACAAAACATGAAGAATATAGACAACCAAGCAGAAGTGAATGCTGAAAATAAGACAAAGAAATTTCAAATAAAACCAATATTGAAGACAGTCAAAGTGCGGTACATGTTACCGCAGAAGGACAAGGAGCTGATGTTTCCAAACCTCACAGGACGGCGAAAAAAATTTTTGAGCTTAAAGAGAAGAAAGCTCGTAAAAGAGAACGCAACCCTGTTGAATGGAAGAAAAAAAAGGCAGCAATACAAAAAGAAAAAGGGTTGGAATATGTTTCTCAAAATGGAAAAATTATACCAGCAAAAGAAATTGAGGAAGATTTAGTGTTATGTAAAGCAACATGCAGATTAAAGTGTGGAACCAAATTCAGCTTAGAAGCTAGAAAATCTATATTGAAAAGGTTTTATAATTTAGAAAATAACGCAAAAACCTGTCTTTTGTTTAAAAGCATTGACATAAATCAAGTTTCAAGACACCGAATTCGTTCTGGAGGTAA